GAAGGAAGTTGTACCGAGTTTGGTATTAAGGTCCAGAATTATATTTAAAAAATAGGCACAATAGAGGTCCCTTTAACAGTGTTACCGGCTTATTTCAGAGCAAGCTTGGTGGTTGAAAGAACATTTAAAACATTAAGGAGAACCACAAGATAGTGATCCAGGAGCAAATTAATTGTTATTTTTCTTTGAGAGATTACATTTTATTGCTCTCACTAGAGAAAATCTACCAGTCAGAGTCAATCATATAGGGCAACAAGTAAAACTGCTAATTAGTTGGTGTCTTTCTGAAAGACACTGAAAATTCTCTCTGATTCTGGGTATTAAAAAACAAAGCCCATCTTCGAAAGTACCCCGCTGCCATTTTGTTATCCTCATCATCCTCACCGTCATCTTACCTGCTGGCTTTGAAGCCTTTGAGTTTCTGGACAAAGAAGTTCTCCAGAACCTCGGCACACTGGTAGAAGGGCGAGTCGCTGGGGTTGTAGTAGCGGCAGTTGTCGAAGATTTTGGTCATGTCTGCTACAAACTCCGTCAGCTTGATGTACTCGCGTTTCTGTAACCTCTCCTCCATGGTGGAAAGGTCTGGCAAAGGGAGATTTAAAGATCGGGTTTGGTAAAAGACTTGACGGCAAGTTTGTAATATGAACGTCATTTAATTGTTAGTTTCTGGCAGAGAAATGCATCACATATGCGGAAACAGAGCACAAATATCTGGGTTTTCTAATCGATTTCGTTCCACAAATCAGCATGCTTGCTTCAAAGTAATTGCAGCTTATGTGGTATGTGCTTGACAGACGTTCAAATATGTTTCGTGGAAGCACAGAGCGTCGCTTTATATGTGACAGCAAAAATCCACAACCTCTGCCAGCATTAACCTCGATCTATTCAGCCTTCCAGATTAGTTACTGAGACGTGACCGATTCGTCATTCCTGAGGAGAGCGCCATTATCTAAGAGTCATTTCTGAGGGGGTGGAAAAAAGCAAAATGGTTATCAGTTCCTCTCTTGAAAGGGAGCTTTGAGAGTTGCTAACCTTTTTAAAACAAGTAGAAAACTTAAGAAAATAAGAGATTTAGCAAAGAAGCTAACTGGCAACAGATGAGGCTCTACATAATCTGCCGTTGCTGGCAGTTCGCACTGCGTGGCATCCCCAGGGCTGCGTTTCAAACAAACACATCCGACTCTTAACCTCTTTAACCCCCACCCAGATGACCAGAGGCTCACAAACCTCATGGTCAATATCAAAGACCTCCTTCTTCTCTGTCATCAGATTTCATCTCAAAACCCTCCAAAAACTACCAACGCCAGCAGCTTCACCAGCCAAAAGCTCTTTTTATTTTTTGTAAACCAACAAGGACTTTTTCTTGCGGTGGATGGGTGAGGGGAGGACTAGAGTTTCCAGGACCAGGAGCTGAATGTGGGGCTGGTCACTTTCCACAGGGAGCCCGGCAGACACGGACCAGCTCATTAACGGTTTGTTTGGATGGAAGTTCAAAAAGGCCCTGTTGACGCAAGTCCCCATTTACATGGCCGGTTTGATCTGAGTTGGAGGGCTTCCTCCGTGTTGCCCTCCTGGCGGGTGGTGTTTTTGTTTTTTTGTTTTTTTTTAATGTTTAAGATATAGAGCCTGGGTGTTACTTCCAGACCCTAAAGCAACTCCAAAATAAAAAACCAGCACTAAAGAAGCAATTTTATCGCCTACACAGGGATAACTCCCAACCAATCCCATTCCAAGTTACTCAAATTACAAAGTACAAATTATGTACCAACTCCCACTTTTGTTTTTATATTTTTCTCCTCAAGGAGGCTACACACTCCCAACAATTACAGTGCTTTTCATCACCAATCCCTTAATTGCACCTCAAGGAGACAAAGTGCGTGGAAGAGCGAGGAAACATAATTGTGTCTTTCATCACACGGCATGTTTTATAAAGGCTGCTTAAGACTGATGCTGTGAATCGCAAGATGTGAGGACGATGTGAAGGTGGAATGTGAGGATGCATCCTGTCATAATGAAACTAACCCTAGAAGTAGATCACACAGCTATAAAAAGAAACCTTGATAGTTATAGAGAGTGTTGCATCATATTGTGCACCTTACATATGTTTATACTGAGACAACCATCATATAAAAAGTCCTTAATACAACCATCTATTAATCAGTATTTTGCAATATTTTCAAAATGCAAAAGTTATAGTAGTAGTTAATATATGCA